TGGTCTCAAACTCCTGGCCTTAAGTGATCCTCCTGCCTCAGCCTCCCAAAGTGCTGAGATTAGATATTAATTGCCTTCTGTCTGTAGTATAGAAGAAACATGTCTGTTTCCTTCTACCGTGAGCTTCCTTGGAGTTGGTGTAGTGCAGCCTGGGCTTTATAAACAGGTAAACTTAGGCTGGAATTCCAACCCTATCATTTTCTAGCTGTGCATCCTGGAAAAGTTAATGTCCCTGCAGTTCAATTGTTTATAAATTGACAACTCAAGAATATTAACACAACTACCTTCCTGGGTTGTAGTAAAAATTAAATAAGATACGTAAAGTGTCCAATTCGACATTTGGCACATTGTACAGAAACCTATTCATTTTTGTCTTCCAGTGCGGTAGACATAGGGTTGAATGAATGTATCATTACCCTTCTTTGGAAAATGCTGGGAGTGCAAGATTCAGTTGTTTTCCATACCATTAGGCAGACCCAAAGTGTCTTTCCCAGAGATATGCATCCTTCAGTACGTTTTTCAGGCAGATCCTCCTTTCTTTCTGCTTACATGATAAGCATGCTACAAGCAAGTCGCATTCCCTGGCTCCTGTTGCATCTTTTCTGAGTTGCCATGCTTCCTAACTCTGTGCAGGGGACATAGGCACATGGCCAATGCCCATTAAGTCAGCATTAAGGCTGAGTCTCTATTTAGCTCCGTGGCTAGCTCTCCAGCATGGCTTCATATTTCCTCACCAAGCCAGCAAAGCCTGCACGTCAAAACTTCAGTCCTAGTTGCTGACTCTACTCTTTGACCTCACCCCATGTGGGCACCCCCTGTCTCCTTCTGCTGCTGAAGAAACTTCCAAATGTGATACCAAGTAAGTCTGCAGGACCATTCCAGCCTCTTCCTGGAGATCAGCATCCCAGATTTGAAAAGGTCCAAACCCCACAGCAAAGTCGTTGGGAACTTGCTTTTTCCTCTTTTTCCTCTGCCCTACGTTTTTCTATCTTTTAGAATTCCCAGGGTTCAAAAACATACATTAGATTAGCAATACTGATAGTTTAAACACAGCATAGTGGTTGAGAAGATAGGCTTTAAATTTGGATAAAGCTAGACTTGAATTTAATAGCACAATTTAGCACTTGTGTAATGTTGGGCTACTTACTTAAATCTATTTTTCTATCTAAAAATGAGAATGATAGTATTCTATATCACAGAGTTTGCATCATTTGGTTCCAGGTAAAGCAATATGACTTCAGTGGCCTAAACAGAAAGAAGTATAGTTTCTCTCACTTAACAAGAGCTCTGCAAGAGGTGGCTAACTGTGTTGAATCAGTACCTCAATGCTGTCTCCCAGTTCTTTTGGCCTTTGCCTCATTCTTATTGCCTCATGACTGCAAAATGGCTGATGTAGCTCCAGATATCACATTTATATTCAAAGAAACCATATGTTAGCTCCAGATACCACATTTATATTCAAAGAAACCATATGTTTCCTTTTATCAAGAAAATAGAAGGATTCTCTGTGGTCTCTGTACTAGATTTCCTGTTAGCCAGAAACAGGGCATATGACAATTCTTATAGAAAGGAGCTGGGAAATTGGGGAATTGTTATCATTATTGGTTTAGACCAACCAGAATTCATATCCTGGGTTGGGAACATTGCAACTCAGAAAAAAAAATCAGGCTTTTGTTACCAAGTAAGAGGTAGGTTATGGCTAAAGTGTGGGTAACCAATAGGGGTTTGGTTTGACACAGGGTTGTAGTATTAAATTTAATAATATGTGTAAAGTCCTTAGTACAGTGCTGGACTTTTACATAGTGTTTAATAAACTGTGGCCATTATTATAAATAAAATTGCCAAACTGGTTGGCCATTCTCTAGTGTAGTTATTCTTAAATACAGTATTTATAAAATTATAAAATTCATGAAACTCAGCTCTACTGATTTATCAGAGAGTGTATTGCATCCTCATTAGCTCAGATTTTGCTTTCTTTTTTTTCTTTCATGGCACAAATATTCATTCAAGACCAACTTTATGCCAGGTGCAAGCACAGGCACAAGTCTAGCCTTCTCCCTGACATCATGGGATCCCCAGGCCTCAAAATTTAATTTCTATGCCATTTATGCCCTTGTTTCCCCTGCTGGAGCCTCAGGCCCAAGCCCCTGTAGATCCATGGTGCTTCCTCTTTTTCCACAAAATCAGAAACCAAAAGGATGGTTTTTAACTTGGTTAAGCATAGCACAATAAACGATTATCAAGCTCATGACTTCATTTTGAGGTTCTGAGATCACCTGAATGTAAACTCAAATGAAGCAGACATCAACAAATGTACTAGGGAACTCTTCACAAAGCTCACACTTCTCAGGGATACCAATTCAAAAGCTCCCCAGATTCTACCATCTCATCATTACTCTCATTAGACATTTGCTGAGTATGGGCTATGAGTCAGCTGACCTTCCTGTGTTAAATCCAAGAATACTTTACATTTGTAGGGCTATTTCAAAGCATGTCCTCATTTTCAGAAGCATTGAGGTCCTCAAGGCAGGTTGCATTATCCTGAATTTATTAATAAAGGTGCTAGGACCCATAAAAGGGTCTGTTCACAGTGCCAGACAATTTGTACACATTCTCTCGTTTAATCCTCACACACTGACAGGTAATAATATTGCCAGTTTACAGACGAGAAGTCTGAGGCCCAGAGAGAGTAAATTACCTGAGGTCACACAGATAGTCAATGGCAAAGCCACAGCTGGAACCCAAGTCTTCAATTTTCAATCCCCCATACTTCCTCCTGTGCCATACACTGCCTCACTACATGCATTCTTTGGAATACATAGCTATCATGAACCCTTTTATGTGGTCTGAGTAAAAGTTTCATAGAGAAAAATATAATTCAAGCTATAGTTGTTTGTGGATTTAAATTACCTGTATTTTCTATAATTGCACTCGTAGAAATTACAAAATTCCATATATACTATACCTATGCTACAATTCTATTTTATTTTTTTTCTTTCTTCCTGACAAGTCACCCCCTCACCACTGCCACCATCATCATTTTGTGCTTCTTTTTGCTACAGGAGAGGAAGTTATTAAAGGTAACATTAAAACAAGCTTAACAATCTTATTGCAAGGAATCACTAAAGCAATATTAGCATCAGTCCTAAGGGCTGATTACCTTATCTCAACTTTCTCCCCAAGGAGAGACAAATACCAAGGACATATCGGGAAGAATATTGTCCCCAGCAAATACCAAGGACACATCAGGAAGAATATTGTGGAGGGAGAGGTAAAGAATCAGAATGGAAATAGAGAATAGGCCGAACAATGACCAAGCATCAAAATCCTAAGTCAGATAATTATTAGGGGGAAGTGAAACAAAACACATCCTGAAATGGAGATGAGACAGGCTCCTGCTTCCCTTCACCTTGTCTTTGATATAGAGATTGAAAAACAAGAGTGTGACCTCTCTTGGAGCTCAGGAGGCCCTCTGCTTGGGATGTCCTAGAGGATCCTCTGCCCAGTGGAGGGTAGAGAGAGAGATGATAAATAATTGACCATGTACTAAAGTTCCAGGCACTTAATAAGTGTTAATTTACAAAATCCTTAAATAATCCTTCAAGGATAGTATAATTGACCAAATGTTACAGATGAAGAAATTGAGGCTCATAGAGGTCTAATAGTTTGCTCAATACTATAAGTGGTGGAAGTGAGATTCAAATCCAGATTGTCTAAGCCTAAGACAGCTCTCCAAATAGCTGTAATTTATAGCCTCATTTGTGCAACTGATCTTTGGATCTAAGGATAGAACTTTACATTGATCCCTCTTATGCTGTGGGAGTCAGTGTGTCAAAGTAACTTTGACTGGGCTTGTCAGTCATATAGGTAACTCTACATACTAGATTTTCATCATTTAAAAATTGTATAAATAAAAATAAAAGTCATTAAACTAACACAACAGTGAAGCACTCAACAGTTGACATACCACTTTGATATATAGTTATTGACACCTCCCCCTTTTCACACCTTGTGCTAAGTTATCACTTCCTCTTTGGCAGCTGAAAGAAATGATGCTTAAGTATAGCAATAGGGTGTTACAGTTGCTACAATTTAAATTCACTGTGTTCTATGCTCAACTGCATTGTTACTATCTACCTCTATCTGACCAAATTGCAAGCATTGCCCCTTTCCACCTCTAGTGCTTTAGGAAAACTTAAAGGAAGTCCCTGTATCAGGTCACTCTGATAGGTTTCGGAAAATATATCCTGTACACTGTCTCATCCCACTAGAAAGTGGTGTATTATGTCACTGACATGTTAGAAAAATGGGGCTTACCTTAGCTGAGTCAATACACAAGAGAAGTATCGAGCAGATATGCTAACACTCTGCAACCTCACATGGAAATTCTCTCCCTTTTGAAACCTGAGTCCAAGGTTTCTTGCCAGAAAATTCAGGCCTGCTACCCATGAATGTCCTAGTCTTCCTGTGACTATGAGTGTCCTCTAGTCTTTCTGAAAAGCAGAACCACAAGGCACTGTGAGAAAACATTTTAAATGGCTCATTTTCAAGGCATGATAAATCTAAGTACTGTCAGCCAGCCTGCGGATGTAACAAACAGCACGGCTCATGCATCTAGAAGGTCACCATATGCAAACAGAATGTAGAGGAGGGGTCAGCCCGTAAAAGGGAAGAAAGTTTCGTTACTGAGAAATCAAAGCTTAAGCGGGGAGGAGACCAGGGTATAACCTTATAAGGGGGATGATGAAACTTAGGCAACGTCCGGGAAGATTGTAACCTCATAGTACTCGACCAATGAGGAACTGGGGGAGGGACTTGCATGCCAGGAGGTAAATTACCTGCTGTAACTGCCCAGGGTGTATCTGTCTACCAGACACCCAATCTTGCAAGACCGCCATTAAAAGTCTCACTTCGGCTATTCTTCGTGTCTCCGAGTCCATTCTTTGGGTTTAGATGGGTGAATATGTGTTTCTCACAGTACTGTCTTTGTTTCTTCCCAGGACAGTGCTAGGACTGTCTTTTTCTATATCAGACATGTGGGCTCCTGCTGTGCCTTCCTGGAAACCGAGGCCAAGGATGGAGCAGACCAAGAGGATGCCAGGAAAAATCACAAAGAAGCCCAGAGAGCACAGCTGGAAGCCAAGAACCCTCTTTTTGGTTTGTGTGGGTGGAAGATGAGGGACAATATATAGTGAACAACAGGATTCTTCATTTGAAAGACAGTGGAGCACATCAGACCTGTGTATTTGGGTGAAGTATGATAAGCTGAACATCAAAGACTATGGAAAAGAACATGACTTAGTTTATTCCATTACCAGTGATCTGCTTGTTTGTTCATTTGCTTACCCACCCATTCATTTATTCATTCATTCCTCCATCCATTCTCTTTCACTTATTCCACAATCATGATTGTATGCCTACCATATCGCTAGAGAGAAGGTAGAAAAAGATCCAAGGATGTGAATACAATCTTCCTGCTTCATGGTGAGAGCTAAAGGAATCTGTAAAGAGTCTGTCTTTTTCATTTTTCTCTCTCCTACATAGACCCTGGCAAATGTTTTATTTCTTATAATTTGCCTGAGATTTACTCATCCACTACCAGAGCTCTGAAAACACTCTTCAGAACACTATTTTAAAATAATGATAATGACAATAATAGATAACATATATTGAGTGTTTTTTGTACATGAAGCAATGTAATAACCATTTAAAATGATTGTAACTATACTTTATAAGAGTATGACGAGTCAGGCACTGTTAATATGCTCATTTTTCACACAGCTAATATGAGAGAGAGCTGGGATTTGGATGCAGGCAGTCTAGCTCCAGAGCCTCCATTCATAGCCATTACATGATCTGTCTAATGAATGAAATGTTTGGCCTTAGAGAAAATTTGAAATGTGTAGTTTTCTTTGCTGACTTGAATGATATAAGTTTAAAAATTCGATAGTGGTTGCTAGTTGAAAATTCCTGCTCTTTGGGAAACTGTTGAAAGTCTGCTTAGTACTCACCTCCATCATTAATGGCCATTTGCAAAGCCAGGCCAAGTTTAGTCTTCTACCAGCATTGAAGAAACACATTTTACCCAGAAGAAATGAGGGTGAAATCCTCTGATAACTGGAAGATTCTGGCTGTTCTGGAAAGAAAAGTAATTTTTTTCAATCTCTGGAAATTGTTTTTTTGTTTGTTTGTTTTAAGTAGGGGTGGCTCAGCAGATGCTAACAGGGAATCTGGGATCACCTAATCTGGAGAAGATTCTGAGAGATTAAGTTTGGGAAGTTCAGACTGAGAAAATGAGAAGAAGATTGGTAGAAAGGGCGGTTTCTTGCTGTGTCCGAGAACAGGAACTGAGAAATGGTATTAAGCTGAGGGTGAGAGCGGAACAAAGAAGAAGACTGTCAAAGTTTCATACAGGTTTGAAACAAAGTATATCACAAGGAATGGGAACATGTAGAGCTGTTTTAGAAATGTTTCTGTGTTTGTGTGAGTGTGTGTACTAGATATATATTTAAAATGACTTTTCTCTGAATTACATCATACTTTGAAAATCAGCATAGGAAGTGAAGAAGGAACAAATATTCACTGAGACCACTCACTAAGGGCCAGGAGCTCCCTGAATACCACATATACCACTGCTCTCTCTTGTGATCATGAAGGTTTGTGAGGCAGTTATCACGATGTATGGTATATTTTCAAAGAAAGCAAATAAAGCCCAATGTGACTAAGAAAGATGCTAAAATCATACAGCTGATTAGCTGTGGGTCCAGGATTCAAATCAGTGCACCTAGCACATGGTCTTCAATAAATATTTATTGAGCAATGAATACATGAATGACTAAATAAGATGAAGCAAGCAAGCAAACAAGCAGGTAGGCTTGTCTAACCCAAATGTTTATGTTCTATCCTCTGTACTGGTGGTTTTTAAATTGTGTGCCACAAAGGCATTGGGTGACATGAGGAGGGTTAGTATGAGTGGCTGCCTGGCAGCGTGGGGTCCCAGGCTGTCTATCCCTGCTCCAACCAGGGCATCTCTGCTTCTGTTTGTGTTGAACATCAGGCTTTTGCCTGAGATTTCATTTGAAGAAGAGGGCTTTCTTCTAGAAAGTGTTTATTACTCCTGCCCCATACCATGCTCCCTCCTAAGTATGCATTATGAACTAGTTAACTTTAATAGAGACATATATTAATATAAAGTTGGAATTTATACCAGTGTCTGAATCCCAGCCAAATGTTTATAATATCCTGCATGCTGCTGAGGCCATTAACAATAGATGGACCATCTAGGGCATTATGGCTAGCAGCCAGGACTAGAACTTCAAGCTGTCTAGGTTCAACTGTGGCTCTGCCATAACCTGGTGAAATCTTAGGTAAATGATTTGACCTCTCCATGCTTTAGCTTCCTCATCTGTGAAATGTGATAGCTACCTTATACAGCAGGGAAACTTTGTGCTCCAGTAATATGAATGGGCTGACTGTAACCAAGTGCACTTAGTTTCCTTGATCTCACGTTTTTGTTTATGCTGGCTCCCAACTTAATGTGGTCTTCTCACTTTTCATCTGACTGTGAAAACTCCAACCAAAGGTACTTATATTCCTTCCACTCAACAAATACGATGGCCTTGGTGTCAGTAAGGTGACATGTGAAGAGAGATATCAGTCTGACTTGCCATACATTACAAGAATTTGCAGGCTTACCCTGATAGTCCTATTTCACGGGAGTGGGTGATGGGGGTACTATTGTGTCACTGTCCAGGGTCCTGAATAATTAAAGCGCTCATAGTGGCTTTTACAAGAATACTAAGAATGATTTATTTGTTAAGGTAACACTATCTGCTGTAGTAGGTAATCCCCTCTACCCCTAAATCTGAGTAGTTTACCATATTAGAAGCCTTTTCTTATTCTCATAGGGTTCCATTGGTGCCGGGGGTGAGGAGGGGAGGTGGTAAAGGTGTTTGTTCCACACAACCATTCAGATTCATATTGATGAAGACTGCCATCTTCAACATATAGTTTCCAGAGTTGTTCTGGGCTCAGTATTTAAACTCCAGGTGGTATATCAAAAGAGAAGGAGAGTAGAGAACTGTGTGGCAGATTTTTATGAACCAGATCTAGAAGGGACATTCATAACTGTCACTGGTATGCTGTTAATTAAAACTCGGGCATACAACCATTCCTAAGAACAAAAGAGGCAATGGGATGTTGCTTATTTGTGTGCTCATTGGAAAATGACTAGCTTGTTTTTGCCACAAAATATTTTTTATGTTGTTACCAAATACCCCCCTCTGAGACACACACACACACACACACTCAACACAAATACAATTAGAGCCAAAAAGTCATTAATTTTCTATGTGTGATATAGTCTCATAGTTTATATTCTATTTTTTTTGTTTTAAAGTGCTGTCATGACCCATTAAACTGTTATTATGGCTGAATGAGTTTTGACATATGGTTTGGAAAACTCTGCCCTAAGGTGTAACTGTTTATCCTAATCTTAGACGGTGAGATATTGCTAATGAGAGTAAAACTTCTCTTTTAAAACCATTTTCAGATAATTACCATTTTTAATAAATAATTCATCATCATCCGTGGCTAAAATATTAAAATAAGGGTGCTAATAAATGGAATATTAATTAATAGAAAACCAGGAAGACTTGAGTCCAATATAGACAAGCAATATCTGCTGGCAAATGAAGAAAATTCTGTAGGGATTTTGAGACAGGCCAAATAAATAGCATTACTTTTTTCCCATCCGAGTTTGGAACCACTGAGAAATAGAGAAGAAAAAGCAGATGGGCATTCAAATACTAGCCTTATTACTGATAAAGTTAATAATGAAAAATACGGCTTCCTAATCCTAAATCTCAAACAGAGCTTACCTGCCCAGCCACAGGCAATGCTAAGCAACTTCAGGCCTCCTGATTGCAGCCTGCCCCTGAAAAACTTACAGTGTGAAGGAACAAACCAGAATGATGAGTAGACCGCGCAAAAGAAGAGGGCAGGACTGACCACACTTTGCCAGCCCCTTATCCCATAATCACCACTTAGATCACTCCTTCTCCCCCTAAGGAGTTTGAATTCGAGGGTGGGGAAGTGTGACTGATGCTTCTCACAAGGAGAAGCCAGGGGAGAGAAAGCTCTTCCCCATAAATACCACCAGGCAGAGATGGCATGACAGCAATGTCATCATCAAATGAAGCCTATCAAAGTCCTGTTCACTTTTCTCTGCTGCTACTTTCTAGAAAGACAGTACATTTGCAATTTTTAGACCATCTTAAGCAAATGGAACAATGATTGTTTCAAAACTCACATATCTGATTCCATAGGCTTTTGTGGTTCTATGCCATTTCCGAGAATGGGACATGTCATTCCTTAAGGAAGATAAGCAGCGTACATGCCACCTTCCCTCCCCTAACCCAGGTGCTGTATTTATGCCTTTCTTTTTCAGTTAGGGTTTAGGTTTTTAATTTAGGGTTTCTCATAATCTACTGGCTTACAATGATATCTCACAACTTCTACTAACCCAAGCAATTCTTATGTTGGTATCTGTGGGTGTCAGGTTTCTTCTTACCTAACTCTCTGCCTCTTAATGTTCCCAGCACAGGGATTTGTACATAATAGATTCTAGAACAGTCTTCTCTCAGATTATCACAGAACAGGGTTCCTCTCATCATTAAGCTCAAATATCACCTCCCCAGAGAAGCCTTTCTTGGCCACCCAAATGGAAGTAGCTGCAACCCCCAAAATTATGGCATCAATACTTTTATATGCTCATAGCATATCATAATCTTTTTTCTTTTTACTTATTTGCTTGTTTATTTTCTGGCTCTTCCCACTAGAATATACATGCAATGGGAGCAGGTACTTTGCCTGTTAATTCCCTCTTTTACTTTCAGTGCCTACAATAATATTTGGCTCATGGATAAAATTTTTAAAATTTTAAAATGAATGAATAAATGCGTAATAAAATTGAAATCAGCATTTCCTCAACTTTTACCCCCTTCTGGATAGAGAGGGAATGTTAGGTGAGAACTCATGAGAGGCTAGTTAGACAGAGGGAGAGAAGAAGAAACTTGGCAAATGCTGGATGTTTGCCTCAAAAATCTTTGGCAGCCACTCAAAGAAAGACACAGCACAGTGGCCCTGCAGCACTTGACTTTTCTGTAATAGCTCTTCAGTAATAAGAAGAAAACAACATGCTTGTTATTTAGCAGGCAATTCTTTAGGTCAGAGAGAAACAACCCTACATCATTCTTATTCCAAAAAGACCTGGTTGGGCAGGAGAAGAGGTCCCAAGGTCTGTGGGGTTCTGACAAGCTACCCTGTCAAGCAATTTTGCCTGATTCAGTATAGGAAGTCCAGTTTATAAAGCTGATGAACAAGATTTGTTTAAAAACAGAGCCATGCCCTTATCCAATAGACCTGAATTCAGCTTATAAGCTTGCCTGGGCCAGCTTATGTGGCAAGTGATGCAGAAAGAGCTTCAGTGATGGAGTATTTGCCACCTCTCCCACACCTCCACCCACTGGGTAAAGTTCTGTCTGCTGGTTGACCCTGGGACATTATTATTATTATTCAGATTAGGGACATTATTATTCAGATTAGGATGGTGAATAGTGAGAATGACCAGAGAAACTGGATGGACATAATGTATTTACCTCTGAACTTGTAGAGAATTATAGGGAAAGGCATAAAGAAACAACAACAACCAAAAAACAAAAACAAAAACAAAAAAAACCAAAAACCGAAAAAAACAACCCTGCACGGGTTGTGTTTATGAGTTTGGGAGACTTCAGAATGAGGAAGGAGAAAAAGTATAAGAGAAGATGCCATACAGGTTAGAGAGAAAAGGCAGGTTTATAACTTTTTTTCTAAACATTTGTTTCATCAAGATATTGCATAAAGTTTAAACTATTTTAATTCATTTTGGGATTACAGACTCTTGTTTCCTTAAGTGTGACTCCAAGTCAAAAGGAAGCAGTTGAGATACAAAAACAAAAAATGAAAAAATGCTGCAGAGTAAGAAGGATGGCCAGGGATTTTCTCCAGGACAGAGTTCATGATACTATCCTTAATAAATTGTTGCTAAATGCAATCTTATGCCAGCTAGAAATTATATTTTGAGCACAGATGATCTCCATCTCTTTCTCTTCATTTGAAGTTTCTTGATGTCTTAGTTCTAGAGACAAAATGTTTCAGCCAACGGCAGTCTTGCTACTCAGATATCCAAGTGACCTTCAAGATGGGCCATTTATGATACAACTTAAAGCAATTTCTTATTTCATTCTTACCATTGATAGCTTGTACTCCGTATTTCATGAAAGGAGGCAATCATACTACTAGAAAATTTTTTTAAAAGCAAAGAAAGTTTGTATGTTAAGAATTCTTTGCATGCAAATGGCAGAAATCCAACTCGAAATAGAATGGGTAAAAAAGACAGTCTATTTGACTGTATTGAGTATCCCATGAAAGAGTGGGGAAAATCAAGGGTGCTTCTAGTTTTGGAAGACTAAAACCAGGGAACAAAATGCTGTCAGAACCTCTTCTTCCCATCTCATATCAGTGCCTTTTTTCTGCACATCAGTTCTACTCTTTCTCATTTCATTCTCCCTCATTAGAAACTGAATTTCTCTACATGGCAGAAAATATGAGCATAGTTTTAGCTATGGCAGACAGACTGTCTCAGTCAGTTTGGGCTGCTGTAAAAGAATACCATAGACGAGGGGGATCCAACAACAGAAATTTATTCCTCACAGTTCTAGAGGCTGGGAAGGCTAAGATCAGGGTGCCAGCATGGTCAGGTCCTGATGAGGGCCTGATTTGCAGATGGCCATCTCCTCATGTGATCACATTTCAAAGAACAGAACAGAGAGAGCAAGCTCTCATGTCTCTTTTTTTTTTTTTTTTTTTTTGATGGAGTCTCACTCTATCACCCAGGCTGGAGTGCAGTGGCACAATCTTGGCTCAGTGCAGCTTCTGCCTCCCAGGTTCAAGTGATTCTCCTGCCCCAGCCATGTCTTTTTTTTTTTTTTTTTTAATAAGGGCACTGCTTCTATTTATGAGGGCTCCACCCTCATGATCTAAATACTTTCTAAAGATACCACATCCAAATACCATCACGCTGGGGATTTAGGCTTCAACATATGAATTTGGGGGAACACGAAGGTTCATTCCATAGCAGAGACTAATCTGATATATTTAATCTCATGTTGAAAAATCCAGGGAAATATCTTATTGGCACAGCCTGGGTCAGGCATTATCCCTATAAACCAAAAAATTATGCCAGTAGGAGGGTCCTGAAAGGATACAGTAGCCCCTCCATATAAAGGAAGTTGAGAGAGAAACAGACCCCTGAATAAGGGGATTACCAGCTCCCAAAGCAGGGGAACATGTGGACAGATAAAGCAACAGGCATTAATCATAGGGTGAGGATAGAGACTGATAGTGAAAAAAAAAAAGAAGACCCACTGCTAGTCCATGCTCTTGCTTCACAGACTAAGAAACCAACACCCATGAAGATAGATTATTAAAAGAAAGGGGACTTCTGGATTTTCACTGAGGGAGAACATATATTAATGAATCATACCAGAGTATTAAGAATTTCATTCAAACACAAACCAATAATAATAGAATTCATTAAGGGAGAATAGGAGCGAAAGTAAGCCTTCACGAATTCAACTTCTGTTATCTGAATGGCAAGAAGAAGTGAAATTCCTTTAAAAAAAAGTGACCCTCTAAACATGAATCTAAGAATCACCTGGGGGAGCATGTTAAAAGATGAAGATTCTTGGA